CCAAACCAGTGCCACTAGTTAACTCAGAGATATCTCACGTTACGAGAAGCACCACCGCGTGTCTCAAAAGCGACGCGCGAGGACTCCGGAGCAACATGCCAGAGCTTCAATCCCTCTGTTTCGACCTTGTCCAGAAAACCATGATCCTGACAGAAACATGGTTGTCACCAGATATAAGTGACACGGAAGTTAACATGGATGACATGGTTCTGTTCAGGAGGGAGGATGGAGAGGGGGGTTGCCATGTACTTGAACAATTGGTTCGCTGGTGAACAAAGCACTAATACGGTACTGACAGAGCTACCAGAATCTATCTGGTGTCACTTCACGGTCAAACGCACCAAATTCCTAGTTGGGGGAATCTATAGGTCCCCTAATAGCAACTTGGAACATAACCCAAAACTACTCCAAGTAATATACACAGTGTCAACTTTAGGGTACGACCAGATTTTAATGGCTGGCGACTTCGACTCTCCAGCCCTCAGCCCAGAGCAAGGTGGCACGACCTTGAACCGGAAGTTCGACCATAACCTGCCAAATGCCATCCAAATGGCTGAACTGCCGAAAAAAAATCAGCGACAACACCCGCCGGGGGTCAAATGGTAAGCTATCGAGACTGGACAACCTACTGACCGGTGATCCCCTTCTGGTTGAAAACGTTCAGGCACAAACTCACGCTATGGTAATGTTCAGCCCGGTAATAAGTGAAAAATTGGCATGGGAGGGACCTCGCCCTTACTTATGTTACAACAAGGCAAATTACGAAGGTATGAACAAAAGCCTATCAACAGCTCCGTGGCTAGTGGGTTGGTGTTCCTTATAGATCGACCAGCTCTGGGAACTGGTAAAAGATATCATTGAGGCGGCCACATCGCAAAACGTTCCTTTGGCAGTAACAACAGCCAAAAACCTTTACCGATTCATGTCAAAAAGAAAGTTGACGAGCCAATGAGCATGTGTCACAAGAGGTCCAAACGGAGAAAATCTCTCTGAACAGGAGGTTGCGGAAATACTCAGCACCACATTTGACACAGCTCAACATTCCATCAAGAAAGTGCGTATACCAACTGCTCGAACAGCTCCCAGCGCTACCCGATGCAGCGGAGCTACACAAAATACAGATAACCCACGCTGTTGTTCTCGACAAGCTATCAAAGTTAGCGCGGTAAAATCCTCAGGGTGCGACGACATCCGCCCATCTGTGCTGAAGGAATGTGCAAGTGCCCTAAGTGGCCCACTCTGTGGTCTTTTCCAACGCTCCTTGGATGAGCGAAAGCTCCCACGAGAGTGGAAACGGGCTATCCTTTCTCCCATCTTCGAAGAAGGGGATAGGAAGAACCCAACTGTTATAGACCCAAAGCACTTCTACCAGTAATATCAAAAGTTATGGTGAGTGTGATGAACGACCGCGTCAGAGAATATCTAAACAAAAGACAAGCACTCAGTGACGCCCAACATGGCTTCCTCAAGAGTAGGTCCCGTGCCTCCAACCTCCTGACGGCCCATGATCACTGGACAGCATGCTGGGATCTCAAGGTCCCGGTCCACGTAATTTTTCTGGACTTCGCCAAAGCCTTTGACACCGTCTCACACTCGATCCTAATGAGTAAGATATCTGGGTTAGGTATTCGCGGCCAGGTTCTATCGTGGCTGCAGAACTACTTAGACAACAGGGGGTCAACAGGGTCTACTCAACTTGGAGAACATCCTCATCCAGTGTCTCACAAGGAGCAATCCTGAGTCCACTGTTGTTCCTACTGTTCGTAAATGACCTGCCACAACATGTCAGCCTCCCGATTCTCCTATACTCTGAAGATGACAAGTTATGGAGGGCGATACCTTGCGAAGCGGAATGTATAGCATTACAGATGGACCTCAGAACACTAGAGGAATGGGGAACTAACCTGGATAAGTGCTGGTCCATGTTTTTCGGCACTCCTGATCCACAGAAGGTATCCTACTACCTCTGTGGTTCCCGCCCACCCCATACCACAGTAGAAAAAGACCTGGGTTTAACGGTGACAGAGAAACTGGACATCAGTTCCAATTACCCAGGTGATGTCCCAAAAGCATATGGGGTACTACACTTTGTGCGTGGACAGCTGGGTGCCCTCACCTCAAAACTCGTTGTGAAGCTCTACAAGACTTACGTATGGCCCCACTTAGAGGTCAATAACGCCTTCGCTCCACCGCAGCTGAAAAGAGGCGCGAACCTACTGGAGAAAGTCCACAGGCGAGTCACAAAAGGGGTTGTTGGAATGCAACGAAAATCATGTGAGGATAGACTCAAAGACCTAGGCCTATACTTTCTAAGCTATCAAAGGTTACTAGGCGACTTAATGATGGCTTACAAAATAATGAGTAACCTAAGTCACCCGAACAGAGGAATCCTACAGAATGGCCACTGCGGAGATCCTCGAGGAAACCCCAGTGGAATAGCCCACCAAAGGTAAAAACCCGTGTGTGTTCCCAGTTCTCCTCCCTCCGAGTCTGCGCTTACTGAAACGCACTACCAGCAGAGGTGGTCTCCGCCTCAACTGTTGAAAGCTTCAAAAAGAGGCTAGACAGTCATGCAGAGACTCACGGTCCACCCATATATAGCTGGAACACGAAGTGACATCAGGCCACTCCAACCAGTTTTCTTTCTATTGTAACCATTTAAGCCTTTTTCACCCTTTCCACTTGCCATAAGCTAGCCTCACTTACCTAAGTTCTTCATACCTTTGCACCCCTACTCACATTACTTGGGTGTAAGTAGATTACTCCATTAGTTCACTTTTCTTCTTCTCTTTTACTCACACAAACACTTTCTAGGTTTTCTTTTCACTATCCCTAACCTTCTCTAGCGACAAGTCTGAACAACTGTCTGGCAACTCGAAATCTGAAGAAGCCAGCTGAACAACGGTCCAAGGCAAACAAACCGTTACTTAACATCCTATTCTGTAAATCAGAGCTATAGCAGACGATTGGCTGGACCTGCTGCATCGGAATCCGCCAAAGATCTGGAGCCGCTCCACAAGACGAAGAAGCGAGCAAGAAGAAATCAACTGGTCTACACAAGCTCGTTTAAAGGATATTGGATATATTGGACCCTGGAATCATGGTATCTGATATCGGTACACAATTAACTTTATGTTCATAACCTCAACATGCACAGTCCAATGACTGGGTAGAGAGATTTGTGGATTTATATAAGCAAGTGGTTTGAAGACAGAAAGTTATTTTTTCACTATTTTGACATATTTGGAATTTTATTGTATAATCTATATCAAGGGTTACCAGTCCCCAAATGACAAAGAAATACATTGTGGTGGAGTTGGGTTCAACTTGGTGAATTTTATATCAAAGTGACACAAATATGTTCAAGTGTTGCAGCAAACTACGGAGAGGTTGATACCTCTCCGTGGTTATATGCCCAGTCTGATAAGAATAGGGAATGAAAGGGGAAAATATTGAAAATAAAGGGGAATTGAAGGGAGGCAGTAGACAGTCATGAAGAAGTTGTATAAAAAAAGGCTGAGCAGGAGAGGAAAAAGCGAAGTCATGGCGTTTGCTGTACGCCTGTGTCATCTCGAGATCTAATTAAGAAAGCTATTGAAACAGTATTGGCCTGACATCACTCCTATGTTGGCAGTAGTTGTCATAGCAATGGTATATCAGATAATGACCTGGTAAGTGTCATTGTCGGTGCGTTAGACCAGTGTTGCATACTACCAATTTTATAAGCGATGAGGCCACACCAGTTCCAACGAGTATCAGACGTAAAATGAAACCGAAATTGACTGCCATTTGTTATCCTGTAACAGGCATGTTAGGCAAACTGGCTTGTGTTAATCAGTATGGTAGCTGCTGTCAGGTTTCTTTGCAAAGGTCTAGTTTCTCCTTAAAAGCATTCAACAAAGGAGTTGATACCTTTAATTAGGGTAGGGAGTTCAACATGTTGACCGTTCTGTGTGAGAAGCATAAACTGACGCTTAGTTAATTCGACAATAGTTTTTGGATCTTCTCGCAGTGCTCTCCTTTAAGAAGACAAGAAATGAGACATATGTATCCAAAAGCCACTGTCAAGAATACCGAATGCTTATACTATTTTCCCTCAATTCTTACTATAAGACAATGAGAAAAGATTGTTCCTCTAAATGGTCCTCGCAGGATACGTTTGACAAACCAGATACCAACTAAGTACCAAGTTTTTGACGAACCCTTGTGCTTTCGCATCCCTCATGAACCAAGAACTGGCCGGTTGAATGCAGTTTTCAGTATGAGAGAGCACAGATGTGGAGTACAGAATCCATAACATATCTTCGTAGAAAACGTTTGAATGCCCTTCGAAGATACGATAGCCCTGAGTACCCTTTTGTTGTAGCTTCAGTGCAGTATGGAGACGTCTTCAAGTTTTGGCTTATGATAACTCCCAAGTCCCTAATTTCTTGCATATCCGATACTAGTGCCCCATCTATCAGATACTGACCGCTGCTGTGGCGAACATGCGTAGCTGCACATTTGCGAGAGTTAGTTCCTAAACACCGATACTTTGACCACTAGACTAGTGCATTTAGGTCCTTATGTAGTGCTCGTCTGCTGTTGTCAACGTTACGGATGACGTTCTGTTTTCACATCGTTACCAATAATGACACCGGTGGCTTAACCACATCCAGGAGGTCATTGACATAGAGCAAGAAAAAGAGAGAAACCAACATTATTCCCTGCAGAGCACTACACCTTACAGTTTGCCACCTAAGTGGTGTACCATTCACTGTCACTCTTTGTCTCCTATGGCATAAAAATTCTTTGAACTAGACCTGGATTGTGTCATGAAAAACGAAACTTTAGAGCTCCTTGATTAGTCCAGCGTGAGAAACCTTATCAAAACCCTAACCAAACTCAGTGAACACAACTTCTACGAACATCTTGTTGACACGAGATGCTGCTCATTCCTCTTTTGCTGTGAGATTAGTTAGGCAAGATCAGTCAGCGCTGAACCCATGCGGTAAAAAAGTAAGAAGACCATGGTTTGCAACATAGCTGACCATTCTATCTCTGATACTATTCTTTATTACTTTAATAGCTATACTGCCTAAACTAACGTGACGATAATTCGTCACAAGTCACTCACTGCCTCCCTTGAAAACTGGGTTGACCAAAATATCTTTTCAATCCCTTGGAATAAGAGTCTGACTTAAAGACATATCGAACAGCTCAGCAAGCTGTCTGGAGATTTTCAGTCAAGAAAGATAAGAGAGTTGGACGTGTCATTTTATGACCAAGGCACCTCTGAGGCTTTTTGATTTCCCTGTAGTCGAAGAACTATCTGCCTTGTGATATGGACTGGAATAATTGGTGAAACATTTTGGGGGATGCTGGTGGTGGTACCAGTGTCTCCGTCCACTGAGAAGACTGTGCTGAATAAGTGGGAAAGACATTTAGCTTTGGAAAAATTAGATTCAACCAACTCTTTCGAATCCTCACCTGAATTGAGTGATGGAACTCCATCCTTACGTTTCTTTTTATTTTCAATTTATGAAAACAGTCGTTTTGAACAGGTCTGTCAGTCGATCACTAGTTTCCTTTCCTATCTTATTCTGAACTTCATAATATTTGATTTGCACGTATTCGTAACCCTGCAAAACAAAGTTTCGGAAGCCTTACTGTCTGTTTCTATGAATAAGTAACACAATCATTTTCTCTTTATAAGTTCCCAGGTACTCTTATCACGAAGGGTGATGAAAACGTCTGTGTGGAGTTGAACATGGGATAAACGGTGAGGTTGTTTTATCAAATGCAGCACTAAATTTTTCCCAAGCTTCCTCTACAGACATGTCATTATTCACAGTTCATTCCATTATGATTGCCTGCTCTTTGGTAGCCCTCATATCCGCAAGCCACAAATTTCATCTGCGGAGAATGAATTAGGAACCTAGGTTGTGTATACAAACCTGCAAAGCAATACTGCATGATCACTAATAGCTAGTGGAGGTAAGTTTTGTAGGTCCGTCACTTCCTTTCTTTAGCGTGTTTAAACCAAATCTCGCAGCGATGGTTTGCGCTATAGATCAAAACGCGTTACACAAATGACGTTTCAAATCGAAACGCCTCCTAGAACTGATAAAAGTAGGTTTCTATCGAGAGAGATCCTTGGATCCGAAGACGTAAGCTGCACATAGTTAGTGTGAGGTGCAATTCGGTCACCTTTTATCATGTATCTGTTACTATTACTTCGTTCACTTGTGTGGTTCAGGATGAGATCGTTTGTCATGTAGCATGGACTTCGGTGTATTATTCTGATTTGGACTACACCATCAAACGACTTGACATTGTAGCTTATTAATTTGCGTATACCGTCATCATTTGCTTCTGTATAAATTGATCTTATATTCAAGTCCTCGTGGATGCACAGTAGGACTTCTTCACCACTGTAACCTAATATCCCACCGGCCCTAATGCAGGACCACTTTTTAATTTCTCCTTGGTTCATAAGTAGCATAGTTATTGATGTTTTGGAAGAATAATTCGTAACAAGGCACTTAACCATGTTGAAACAAATAATCTCCTGGCAACACAGCTGAATCGTTTTAGCACCCGACACTCCTGCCTGGCAAATCTCTTCATCGTGAGAGAGGAATGGGTTGCAACCCGTGACAAGCGGCCAACAAACTCCATGTTTATAAACCAGTAAGGCATTCGATAAAGTGTCTCATGTTATGTATTAGAGAAGCTCTCCTCTTTCAGGTCTCGTGCCTCACTCCTACCCTGGATTTGTGACTTTCTGTACAACGGTAGGCAAAGAGTGAGGGTTAATGGGCCACTGTCCTTGTGGACACCCGTGATGAGTCAAGTCCTAGAGTGAACAATACTAGGTACTCTTCTTTTCTTGTTGTGTCAACGAACTACCATAAATACTCAACTCTTCGGTGCTGGTATTCGTTGATGATGTAAACTTTTAGAGTCTTATGTAGTGATGCTAATAAGTAATTTCTTCAAGCGAATTTGGATGAACTGGTAGGTTGGTCCAAAGGTTAGTATCTGAAAATTAACTCTTGTAAGAGTGCAATAATGCTAGTTGTGATAATTTTTTTCAGTATCTTGTTGATGACACTGTCGAGCTCTGAAATCTGACTCCAAATTTTATATACGTGTCCAGATACACTATCGCCTATTTATAATTCCCGACACTGCTGATCCACCTGCGTCAGACAGCGTAAATATCAGGAGTTAACGCGAAGTATATATCAGGGTGTTGTATTAGTCAACGAGCGAGCAAAAAGTCTTTTTCAGTACAACTAGATAAAAAATGTTCAATGAGTTGTTACATATATCAACACAATACAGTGAAATAAAGTGCTACAACACGCTACTACTCTCAGTTTTTGAACTGAAAGACTAAGGTATCATTATAAGACGTGATTTGAAAACCTCGGGTTAGTGTAATGCAGCTACAGTAAAGGGCTTCCGTGTATTATGGTTCATCCAAAGAGTTTCCAAAAGTTTTGACCAGGATAACTTCAAGATACTCTGTTCTGCATAAGTTAGACCCCGCTTGGAATACTAAATTCAGGTAACCAGTCCATTTCTAAAAAGGGATGCTGACGCACTTGAGTGTATTCAAAGTGAAGGTACTTAGCTTGTGGCAGGCCTTTTGAATCTGGCCTGTGAGGAACGATTACATGGGTCAAACTTATTCCCCATGAGAAACGGAATCATCTCGTACTAGTATACCTTGTTCTTAATAATGAGCTGGGTACTGATATGTCCTATCCCTTCTCTCCTGCTGGGACCGATTATCTCTGAGGCCATTGCAAGGAAATCCGAAAACTGCGAAGGAATAAACTCAGAGCAAATCTTTGTTCTTCCCAAAGTGTGGTCAACAACTGGAGCTCTTTACTAAGGAAGTAGTATAAGATCCTCCGGTTTATTCATAAGTCTGAAGAAGAAATGTAAATCAAGTAAGACCAAGATGTCATAACCACAGCATAATTGAGATTGTTATCAGCTTCTCATTAGATCTGTTTCCGAAAAATCCACAGCCATCAGAAGCCGAATAGTAATTTCCAAGTGGTAAGAAGAATTTTCGGGATTCTACTGGTCCAAAACCACCACAAAGTTGGACGATTCGCTTTAGGAAACCCATCAAGAAGATCCAAGTAAGTTCCAAGCAACCCTTCCATTCATTGTTATTTCTCTTGGACAGTTAATTATTAAGGAGTGAAGTAATATCCCCTAGATTCCTCAGAGAAGCGAGCAATTCACTGACGACTTCCTAGGCTAATCATTACATGCCGAATGTAAAAGAAGATTTCAGCCGTCAATAGAAGCGCTCTACCGTGCCATTTGCTTCTAGCTAGTAGGCTGTCGTTCGAAGGACTGTAACATAATAGCGGAGTTAAAGCGTGAAATAATTCACACTCAAATTATCCCTCACAGTCGGTTCACTTGCAAAATGATTGCAACAAGTTGGAAACCATTAACGCTTACCTGTAGGTTCGACCAGGCACTCAGACAGATTCCAGTCATCTGAAAAAAGGAAGGCAGCCTTGCTCGTTTAAGGCCGAGCTCATCGCCAGTGTCGCCGGAAAATTTCAGCCCATCTTAGATCATTAAGATCTGGCTACAAATCAGAATGAATGCCAACTAACTGCTCAAGTCACTCAGTTACATATATGCAACCAAGTGTATATCCTTATGCATAAATTTCCAATAGGCCCATTAAATATAAGCAAAAGTCAAGTGTCGCTTCAGAGTTTTGATCCGGAAATCATTGGATATTACCTAGCCAATAAAAATATGCTTGGAAACTTAACGTTGAAATGAGATTGTATGAACGTCAACAGTCGATTAGTATACTTAACATGTATTGTATTTATTTATTTGTTTGTCCCTTGGGTTCCAAGTAGAACGTAGGGCTTCAGTAGAACGTCACGACTTCACTCTCTTATCTGCAGTCTTTTCAACCTGGCTCCACGACTACCCACAAGCTTTCATTTCTTACTCACATGATCTCCATATCACCCTCGAACGCCCAACTCGTCGTTTCCCATTTGGATTCCACTCGGGCAACTGGCGCATCATGTCTCCTAATGGTTTTCTCAGTGTATGTCCGATCCACCTCCACTTCCTTCTGCATATTTGTTGAGCGATGGGTTCCTGGTTGGTCCCTTCCCAGACCAGAGTTCCTTGTTGCTTATACTTTCTGGTAATCCATCTGATCTTCAGTACCGAGTCAGCGTAGGCAGCTGTTGATGAGTGACTGTAGTTTGTTGGAAATGCTTTCCGTAACGCAACAAGTCTCTGAACCATCACATGGAAGTACTGACTTGACTGAGTTAGTGTTAAAATCCGGATTTTGTTCACGCTTTATGCTGAATGCAGTAGATCTCCACACTGGTTTCAGATTAATGAAAGATTGTCTTGCTTTTCCGATCCTGGCTTTTACGTTCTGATCTACCTCACAGCCCTAAGTTGAGACGATGTTGCCTTGCCTAGATTGGTGAAAGAGACTACATCCTTCAGATTTCTCCCGTTAATGTTTATTGGCGCCTTTTGTTGTTGTTAGTTGGGTGTCTTCATCACCTCTGTCTTCTCTACGTTCACTAGAAGAAGTCCCGTCTTCTCTGCCTCACCTCTTCTGCCAACTTCTTAGTATTTGTCTGCAGATCTTGGAGTTTGTGTGACAAGACATCAGACATAAATCATCGGTGAAATCGAAGTCTTCTAGAGTCTTTTCATTGGTCCTGCCAGCATATGCCCCTCTTCTCGTTCCTCACTGTTTGCTGCATGATCCAGTCCAGTAAAGTTGACCACAATCAAGAAGATCATCGGTGATAGTGAGCGGCAGCCTTGTCTTACTCCTGTCTTCACCTCATAGGCGTCACTGAGCTTTCCATTGTGAATCACTTTTCATGTAGCCTCATCATACTGCATATAGTCGTTGTTGAATGGGGTTGATGAAAGTTTGTGGCACTTGAATCGTAGTGTTGAAACAGCTGCCAGCCAAATTACTTCTCCGTCGACGCTCTCAAAGGCCTTTTCAAAGTCGATGAAGTTGAGGTGAGGTAGAGAGTTGACTGCCATTCTATACTCTCTTCTATGATGATGTGTAGAGTAGCGTAGTGTTGCAATTCGGTCAGCACATGATTTGTACTTCCAGAAGCCAGCTAGCCTGTTTCGGTGGTAATTTTGAATTCAGAGCATCTTCTAGTCTCTCCAAGATGATGCGGCCCAATATTTTGCTTGCTCAGCGTGAACAGGGACAGCAGCATGATTCCTCATCAGTTCTTGCAAAGACTTAGGTCTCCCTTCTCCGGGAATTTTATAAGGTAGTCCTGCTTCCATTCGATCGGCAGGTACCTTTCCTTCCTTCCCTCCTTCCAAACCTTCTGCAGTAGTGATGTGAGCATGTCCGCTGTTGTCTGTGCATCTGTCTTCAGTGCTTCTGGTGGAGTTCCATCTGGTCCTGCTACTCTCCCGAATTCCAGCAGCTTTATGGAGTCCAGCACTTCACCTCTGCTTTTATCGGAGGGCTTGTGCTAACTGGTAATTCTGTGGCTGGGTTGCAGGTGGTATTTCTGGATGAGTTGTGGGTGATAGTAGTGGTGGTCGATTCAAGAGTTTTTGAAGTGGTCAGCTCATGGTTTTCTCCTCTTTGCTGACTAGGTTCCCTTCAATATCTTTCATTGGTTTCATCTGTGTTGATCTCTTCACTCCGAGATAGTAACCTGGTTATTTGATATGGTGTTATCAGGTCTCTGTCTCGCCTACCTGCAGCCTGTTCCTCTTTACTTGCCAGTGTGTCGTAGAAGTGTGTTTTGTCTTTTTGCGCGCTCTTCTTCACTTCCTTGTCTAGCGTTTTATGTGTTGTACTCAGTTCCTCTACTCGTCGTTCATCCTTGCACTGGTTTATCTTCTACTTCACAATCTTCCTCTCCCTCCTCTATCAGCTTCTATGTGTTCGTCGAGATCCATTCCTCGTCCTGTCTTGTTTCTTCTTCCTTCCTAACACGTTTACGCAAGTTTCTTTCCACGTCGTTTCCAAAGAATTCCAGTGTTCTTCCACACAGGTCTCTTAATTATTGACCTCCAAGTTGACATTTGGGAGAGTCCACTTCCATTCCATCTACTTGAGCAGATTCTAAGCACTTCTATGTCTTACCTTCTCATCTCTTCTGTAATCTGAGCAGCCTTGGTAGGTTCATACATGGTGTGGACATTCCATTTCCTCATTCTTACTTTCACTTTCATCGACAGAAGAGAAGATACATTGGCCAATCGGCTTCTTGAAAGCTTTCACCAACTGGCATCATTTCGTGTTCCCGATTCCAGCCAGGAATGATTTTATTTTCAATCCTGTATTTTCTTTGTGCTTCGAAGTTTGCTTAGCTATCTGATTGGATCAACACGGTAGGGCTGCTAGCCTATACCGAACCTAGCCTCTTTATTAGGGCTAAGGACCGGCTAGTAACTAGTGAACTAGTTCACCAGACGAGGTTAATTAACATGTATACTACAAAATAATCTTGAATTATCGATAAATAAATACTATATATTAGCATTTATCCAATTCCAACAATGCAGTATAAATGACTTTAACGAATCAAAAATATTCATTTATTGTGCAACTACACTCAACGATAACAATCTGTTGCTAAGATGTCCGTCACCAACAGTTCCCTTCTATACATCATCTTTTGCATGATTTCAGCAAACAACATCAATTAATATCTGTTCAATATCAGACTAATTAACTCATCTATAGGCAGAAACATGGAGAGAGTGACGATGAGGTAATCTCACATTTTCCAGCTTATCAGTTAATACAACAAATGTGATTTATCTATCCATCTCCATCCTTCCTACTTCGATTGCACAAAAACAAACTACTAATCAGTCTTACAGATAAGTTGCCTTCTCGTCCACAACTCGCTTGTCTCTCTTATCACCACTTTTATCAGTGTGAACTGCTTCAATACAGATGTTAATATCAGATAATCTTAGTAAAATGATTATGCAGATGTTTGATTCTTGTTATGTGATTTAACAAATACCAACGTGAATTAAACTTGTGCATTTCGATCTTCTGTCTCCAATCAGTCGTTTGTTTGATAATCTTACTTTCTTATTGGAGGAATATTTCATAATTTTGCTTGCTCATTTCACCACTACTAATGATGGTTGTCTAGGATAATTTGTGGAAGAGTGTTGTGGTTTAAAGTGTCAACATGACTGTCTTTATGTCGAGTGGTTCTAGTTATTTGTATGCAGGTGAGGAGGTGGTTGAAGCAAAGCTATCTTTGAAATGAGGGTTGACGTCATTGATATAATCATTGAACATGTAGAAGAGAGTGATGGGTATTTTATCCTTGACTTCTACAAATTTAACATCTTAGAGTAAAGCTAACAACCAGAAGTGATCTTATAGACTAAGTTCTGAACTAACCAACAAATTGGTGTCCAGCATCGTGCATTTTCGCACCTTCATTTTTCAAAGATACACCTGTGTCATTTTTCAAATGCATCGATGTGTGTTCATTCTCACCCCAATAGATTTTCACTAGAATTTTGAGAAATCCGTTTGAAGTTGATTACTCATCAGCAATTAACTGCTATCTAGTTCAATGAACTGAAAGAAGTAGACGCGTAACAATGCGCTTTTCACAACGAAGTGTAACATCTGACTACCCTTCACTGTATTTTGTATGATAAGTAAGGCTTGCATAGTTCAGTATTTTTAGACTGAGACAAAATCGTCGTTCACTGTTGTGAAATAGATTAGTAAACCGAAAACTATGCATTTATACAGTGACGTGTCTGCTAAGGGAAAAATTTCAAAGTAGGGAGTTGATTCATTGTGAAACGAGAACAGTTAACTGAATACCATTGAGGTTTGCCATTAACGGTAAATAGAACACTCCAGCTAGTTACTCTGTATTATAATACTGTCAATCATAGT